CTCCACATGCCTGTTTACCCAGCAGTAAGTAGGAATCCAGTTGTTAGTCGATTGGCGGATAACTTTTCCGGGATAATAATAATAATCCTTGCATTTGATATAGCGCTTTTCACGTCGGGAGGACGTCCCAAAGCGCTTCACAGAACACACTGTAAAGTGAATTGACTGTATATTTGTGGGCGAACGCGGCAGCCAATTGCGCACAGCAATGTCCCACAAACAGTCGCAGATTGAAAATGACCAATTTATTATTGTTTTTTTGGTTTTGGAGGGATTATTATTAGGCTGTGTGTGGAGTAAGGAAACTTGCCCGAGGTTTCGCCCTCTGCCTGGAATTGAACTCAGGTCTCTCCAATCCCTCAAAAAAACAATAATAATTTGGTCACTTCAATCCACGACTGTTTGTGGGACACTGCTGAGTGCAATTGTTTGCCACCTTTCTCCTACAAAATATACAGTGAATTCACTTTACAGTATACTGTGAAGCACTTTGAGACTTCTCGAAGACATAAGGCACTGTATCAAATGCAAGGACTATTATAATAATCGTGCTGCATTATAAAATTCCTTGCATTTGATACAGCAACTTAACAAATCTTCTAGACGTCTCGAAGCACTTCACAGAATATACTGTAAAGTGAATTGACATGGGAACAGGAGGCCATTCAGCCCCTCGAGTCTGTTCCGCCATTTTTGGATCCAGCCTTTTGGGGCACAAGCTTTGTGTTATATATGTATATTTAGATGTATATGACTGTATACTTATAATTAAATCAGCCAACCACATGGCAGATGTTTACTGTCACACAGAATATGATATCAGAGCTGAACATTTATTTTGTCCAAATAACTTTGCAATCGCAAGTCTAGTTTTTAAACAATTATTTAAAAAATAATTTTCTTTTTATTAATTACACAACTGTTTGAATCCTAAAAGAGAGGGAAAAGAGAGAATTCTAGACATTCATTTTACTTGAATCCGCAGGGAGGGAGAGCTGTAACCTTGACCTGTCCTGAGGTCGGTGACTAAACAACTGCATGAAAGTTTTAATCTGTAACTTTGGTTCCTGATTCGACATTCAAGTCAACATTATTTACAACATTTTCATTTAAGAATATAAGAACATAAGGATTAGGAGCAGGAGTCGGCCATTCGGCCCCTCGAGCCTGTGCCCCGCCATTCGATAAGATCATTCAGACCTAACTCTGATTACCTGCCGTATCCCCATATCCCCTAATCCCTCTATTTTTAAAAATCTATCAGTCTCAGCCTTGAAAGAGTTCAAGGACTGACATCTACAGCCTTCTGGGGGAGTGAATTCCATAAATTCACTGCTCTCTGAGTGAAGAAATGTTTCCTCAACTCAGTTCTAAAAGGCTGACCCCTAATTTTAAGACTGTGACCCTGGTAATGGATTCTCCTATTGGGGGAAACAGACCCTCAGTGACTACTTTATCAGCCCTTTAAGAATCTTATATCTTTCAATAAGATCTCCCCTAGATCCAGTATCTTCTGGCGAACAAAATAAAACACCCAAATACAGAGGGTATTTAGCAGACATGTGATTAATGTTGCCTACACTGCCAGGTTCCAAATATTTAGTCACAAGCTGTTAAAAGATGGGAAATTCAAAGTTGATGCAAATTTACAACTTACATAAATGAAAGAATAAAAGGAGTTCAAGACAGAAATGCAATCATGAGATCAAACATAGGAAGTACACAAACACTTACTTCCCCGAAATGCATCAATGGCCAATTTAAATCCCCTTTCTTGCCCATTAGTCTAAATGCAGAACATTGGAGGAGAATCTAAAATATACAGTCAATTCACTTTATAGTATATTCTGTGAAGCATTTTGAGATGGCTCAAAGACATGATATCAAATGCAAGGAATACAATTATTATTATATTCCTACAATTTATCCTGTTGCAATGGTACTGCAAGTAGAAAATAAAAATTACATTCCACATTAACTATTTAAAAACTAATCAGAGGAAAGGGAGCAATTTAAAATATGAAGCATCTTGTCTAACAATAAGCCTTACAATGGACATTGTCATGTCATCAAGATGCCTCAAAACACTTCTCATGATTTTACTTTGTATTGTAGGCAAAAGTGGCAACTATTTGTACACACCAACGCCCCACAAACACCATGAATTAAGTGACCAATTTTATTTCGGGAGGAGGTGGCTGACCGGGACACTGGATGAAAAACCCTTCTCTTCTTGAGCAGTGACGTGGGATCTTTAACATCCAACAACAAAATTATATTTGTAAAGCGCCTTTCACATCGGGAGGACGTCCCAAGGCACTGCACAAACAGAGTTACGAACTCGAGCTGAGGGTGAGGGTGGGGGGGGAGTTTAGGGGGGAAAGCAGGGAGATCGAAAGCACGATCGAAAAGGAAGGTCTTGAGTTGGATCTTGAAGGTGGTGAGGGAGGGGGCGAGGCAAAGGGACTCCGGGATGGAGTTCCAGAGGGTGGGGGCAGAGTGGCGGATGGTCTGCCCGCTGATAGTGGTGCGAGCAAGGCGGGGGACGTGGAGCAGCCAGAGCCGGCTGAGGGGAGGGAACGGGCTGGTTGGGGGGGTTTAGGAGGTCGCAGAGGTCGAGGGGAGCAAGTCCATGGAGGGCTTTGAAGGTGAGGACCGGGATGTTGAACTGTATCCTCTGTGTGATGGGAGTGGAGTCGGGTGAGGATGGGGCTGATAGGGTCACGGAGCCCGGTGCGGGAGAGGACACGGGCTGCAGAGTTAGTTCTGGATGATCTGCAGCCTGTGGAGGGAGGAGTTGGGGAGGTCGATAAGCAGGGAGTTTGCATAGTCGAGCCTCGATGTAATGAAGGCGTGTGTGAGGGTCTCAGGGGCTGCGATGTGAGACAGTGGCGGAGCCGAGCGACGTTGTGGAGATGGGGGAAGGCAGAGAAGGTCATAGCGCAGAAAGTATAGTTGAGGGCCAAACCAGACCCCAAAGTTCTGGACTGGCTCAGTGAGGGGGAGTGAGCCCCATGGACGGTGATGCTGTCAGTGCCTCCTCACCTCAGGCGCTGACAGCAGCCAATCAGGAGCCTCGGTCTGGTTGACGCTCAACTGAAGACAGTTATCTCTCATCCACAGGACTCGATGTCTGACAGACATTCTGTCAGGACAGCAGTGGGTCCTGGGTCAGGGGGCTGGGAGCGGGTCAGGGGGCTGGGAGCGGGTCAGGGGGCTGGGAGCGGGTCAGGGGGCTGGGAGCGGGTCAGGGGGCTGGGAGCGGGTCAGGGGGCTGGGAGCGGGTCAGGGGGCTGGGGGGGGGGGGGGCTGGGAGCGGGTCAGGGGGCTGGGAGCGGGTCAGGGGGCTGGGAGCGGGTCAGGGGGCTGGGAGCGGGTCAGGGGGCTGGGAGCGGGTCAGGGGGCTGGGAGCGGGTCAGGGGGCTGGGAGCGGGTCAGGGGGCTGGGAGCGGGTCAGGGGGCTGGGAGCGGGTCAGGGGCTGGGAGCGGGTCAGGGGGCTGGGAGCGGGTCAGGGGGCTGGGAGCGGGTCAGGGGGCTGGGAGCGGGTCAGGGGCTGGGAGCGGGTCAGGGGGCTGGGAGCGGGTCAGGGGGCTGGGAGCGGGTCAGGGGGGGGGGCTGGGAGCGGGTCAGGGGGGGGGGGGGGTCAGGGGGCTGGGAGCGGGTCAGGGGGCTGGGAGCGGGTCAGGGGGCTGGGAGCGGGTCAGGGGGCTGGGAGCGGGTGGATGTGGAGAGGTTGAGGGAAGATAAGTCAGCAGAGGTAGAGCAGGAGGGAGTGAAGTGAAGGCTGAAGTCGCTGAGGATGAAGAGGCGTTCGTAGCAGAGGGAGAGGGAAGATAGGAGGCTGGAGATGTCAGGGAGGAAGGTGGGGGAGGGCTTGGGGGGCAATAGATGAGGAGAATTTTGAGGGAAAGGTTAGTGGTGATAAAGGATACGGTGCTCAAAGGTTCCAGAGGAGTACGGGGATAGGCCGAGCGGGGACCGGGAGCCGAGAGCCACACCGGCAGTTGGGACCGCGGTTTAACGTCACATCCAAAAGATGGCACCTCCCACAATGCAGTGCTTCACCAGCACTGCGTATGGACAGATTTCTTTACAGAATAAGTTTGGAGAGAAACCTTCCTGTAGCTCTCAGCTCTCAGTGATTACACACTCACATCGCAAGCGGCAGACCTGGGCTCAATTCCCTGGCACCAAAATATCAGACAAGTTTCCTTGCTCCACACGCCTGTTTACCAGTAGTAAGTAGGAACCTGGTTGTTAGTTGATTGGCGGATCACTTTTCCGGGGGTAATAATTCCTTCAATTCCTGCTGTGTTTCGCCCACAAATTATACAGTCAATTCACTTTACCATGAAGCACTTTGCGACGTCTTGAAGACCTGATGAGGTGCTATATCAAATGCAAGGATTATTATATTATTTGTAAAGACAGCAGCAACGCACATAGAATTCCCTTCCCTCTGAAAGACACACATTTGAGTTTCAGATGTCAGCACAACATTCACATTTTATATAACAATCTAATTTAAAACTTGACATTAATTTTCTCAATTTTGGCAATAAACTAACATTGCTTCACTATGTTCTCCTTGCCAAAACCTTGGGGTGGTGGTGGGAGACAGACAGACAAGCAGACAGACTACACAATTCAATAATACAAACATTGTCACTTATTTTGCCATTTTGCTTTCATCTGTTATTTTAATGCGAGACGCGAGTTAAACATTCGAGCTTTATGCAGGATATGTGGAGAACCCCATAGCTAGTATGTGCAAACACACAACTTATAATAGCAATTAATTTGTTTTCCACACGAAAAGGTCAATTGAACTGTGCCAGATATTTCTTTCTTGACAGAAAGTGCACAAAGCAAAGCAGAAGTACAGTCAATTCACTTTACCATGAAGCACTGCATGCTGCATTATTTTCAAGTGGAACATTTTAAGCGATTCAATTCTTATTGTATTAAAGTTCAATAAAATGAGAACATTACAAAGAGGAAAAAAGAAGCCAACTTTTATGTACAGCCATAAAATTGATGGTACAAAATATTCCAACACACGCAACTCCAACTATATAAATAAACTCATAATCTCTATTATCACAAAATATTGTTTTTGTAAATATTTTGTTTTTTTGCCAGATTTTTCTGTTAAAATATCAAAACCAGGACTAAACATTAACAGTCTTTAATAGGATGTACTTTCAACTATGTCCAACACCAAATATAAAAGCAGAAAATCCAACTTGATAAACTAGACTTACTAAACTTTTAACAGCTTTACAACTGTGAAAAAAAAATCATATTTGCTTCACTAAGTTATGAACATATTAATCTCTTGGCTATTTTGTGTCTCTCTCTGTGTAGTGTTCTGCCTCCACTGCATTATTGCCGTCTGATGCCTTGAGCTCCTCAACCACAGAGGATTGGGTTATTTCTTCACACACTGGCTCCCAATAATCATGAAGTTTACCCTATAAAAGGAGAAGAATTGGGTTGGATTTCAGTGCAGTAATGCCACAAAAAATCATGGAAAACAATCAATTTTCTGCATTTTTTAAAATATGAAACAAGTTTACTGGGTCTCATTCCCTTTAATAATCTTTACATTTGATATAGCGCCTTATCACATCATTGAGATGTCTCAAAGCACTTCACAGTATATATTGTACAGTGACTATGTATTTCATGGGTGAAATGCAGCAGCCAATTGGCTCACAGGAGGAGCCATGGATTTGAGTGACCAGATTTTATTTGGGGGATTATTGGCCAGAACACTGGGGGAAAGAAACTTTGTTCTCTATTCGTGTAGTGCTATTGGATCTTTCACATGCATCTGAACAGGCAGGTGGGGACCACGGCTTAACGTCTCATCCGAAGGACGGCACCTCAAACAATGCAACACCCACCCCAGCACTGCATTGGAGTGTCAGCTTAGACTATGTGATTCCAAGCATCAATGTGAAGCAAGAGTGTTACTTCACCAGGCTGACACACAAATTTTTAAAACATTTTTCTTCCTCCAAGGTGCTGGATTTTCAGGAGGGTGGGGGCAAGCATATTGCAGTGTAAAAACTATTAAACTATTTTTGTAAACCTTCCACCCTCCTTTCTCTCTCCTGGTGATAATCCTCCATTTATCCTCTATTAGTGACTCGCCAATCAGTGAAAATAACCTCTTCTGATTAAAGAATCATCACAGAACAGGAGACAAGTTGGTCCATTGTAAATCTGATGATTTACTCCATCCAAAATATTTTTCTTCCCTCAACCCCTTTTTTATTAGAAATAAATAATCATTAAAACATTAAATCTTTATAGTATTATTAAATAATAAACAATTATAACATTATTATTATGATTAATTATTAAACACCCAATTCATACCAATGAATAAACCATTCTGGCTTGTTAAAATGGTGCGTGGTAAACATTTTTTGAAAAAACTGTTTACTTGGGATGTTTGTAAAGTCACTGCTCAGGCAATTTTCCTTTGCATCACTCTCCGAGTTTCAAAGGCTCAGATAAAAGTGAATGGGAAAAGAGCAGGGAATTGTCATTTGAATGGAAAGCTCACATGGATAAGCAAGTACCATCAACATAGGCTCAATGTGAACTTTCCTGTGGTCTCTCATATTCCTCCTCTTCAAATGTTAGTGACTTGTGGCAAGTGTGAGAGAAAGCTGCTTCTTCTGACTCTGCACTAACTCTTCCAGTGTCAGCCCACCCGACACCCCCTTACCAACTCCGTTATTATACCCAAAAGCCTGGGTATAATAATGTCATATTACCTGTAGAGGCCGTGATCGCTGCAACAACTCTTGCCATTTTACATACGTTCTTGCTTCTAAATCCTTTACCTGTTCAAAAAGACAAAATGTGGATTAAAAAAAATGATAAAATCAAAGAATAATTCATCACATAAGGATGGCATTTGACCCCCTGAACCCACCCTCTGTTTGGTTCCATTTCCTGCCTTTTCCCCTCACCTTTTGGAATTTATTCAGGCATTTATCTAATTTCCTCTTAAAACTCATTATGGATTCTGCTTCCACTACTGTTTTTGGTAGAGTATTCCTCATCCAAATAACTCCCCGTGTAAAGCAACAATTTGCGTTTATATAGCACCCTTCGTGCAGGGTAGTGCCTTGGGGTAACATCTCAGAACTCTTAATGGGAGTACAAAACAATTCTGCTAAACCTGTTATTCTACTACTGAATGCAAACTGGGGAATATAACTGCACAATAATACACTGACTAGCTAGAATAGCACAAGAACTGTACTTGTGACATTAGACTTCAGTTATTTACAGTATATGCTGTTATTGCTGGAATACAAATAACCAGGTTTGCTTAAAACCTCCTGTACCTTGCTTCGGTAAAGCAGTTTGGGGTCCTCTCTTATATCGCACTTGATGTGTTTTTCTATTTGAGTACACAGCTGTATAAGATGATTCTGGAAGAATAAAGCACAGTGTTTACTAGACAGACAATATAAAGGTGAAAAGTGACCATTAGATAAGGACGGAGACCGAGTCATTGTTTACTAAGTGGAATGTAGCGACGCAGGGCACCCATGAGAAGAATATGAAGTGAAACTTTCTGAAACATGCACATGAGCTTGCAGTGGAAAGACAGCCCTTAGTAGTAGATCGTTCCCTTAATGCTATTTATATTCCACCCCAGCTTCAACCAGTTTTGATTTTTGAACAGTAACAAAAACAATATTATAAATTGTAATGATATAAATTATAATGATAGGAATGTTCAGGACCAAAATGAGCAATGAAGTCCAAAGCTTTCAAATAAAATTAATAAGTAATTCAACACTCATACCCCTCAGTAGATTTGCTCAACAAATACCCTTCTAATACCCTCCTGAATTTGCTGGCAATTTGCCCTCATCACCTCCCTGGGTTGCTCATTCCACATCTTCAATGCACTCTCTATAAAGTAAATCTAAACCAACCTGTTCACCAGGCTCCTGCAAAGCTTGAGGTTGCAGAGATACAGGGTGTCCACAAAATTCTGTTACCCCCATGTTCACTAAACAGTGATATGAGATGATGGAGGAGGTGAAACAATCTGTCACAGATACATTTCCCCTCCTCACTCCAACCAAGTTACAGAAGATGTGGCACTGAACACTGTGACCGATCATTATCTGCCATGAAAATGATGGCACTCGCTCTCTCATTCACATCGATCCCGTTTCGGAGAGGGTGGATGAAGGTAGTGCAGTTGATGTAGTTTATATGAATGTAAGCAAAACAGAAGTATTAAAGGGACAGTGGCAGCTGATACAGAACTGTCTGGGGACAGAGAGAGTGGTGGTGAACGGTTGTTTTTCTGACTGGAGGGAAGTTGCAGTGGTGTCCCCCAGGGATCGGTATTGGGACCACTGCTGTTTGTGATCTATATAAATGTCCTGGACTTGGGTACAGGGAGGACAATCTCCAAGTTTGCAGATGATACTAAACTGGGAAAACTAGCAAACAGTGAGGAGGATAGTAGCAGATCTCAAGGGGACATAGACAGACCGGTAACACGGGCAGACACGGGGCAGATGAAGTTTAATGTGGAGAAATACAAAGTGATGCATTTTGGGGGGAAGAATGAGGAGAGGCAATAAAAGCTGATGGTACAATCTTAAAGGGGGTGAAGGGACAGAGAGACCTGGGGGTCAGATAATAAATCTTTGAAGGTGGCCGGACAGGCAGATACAGCTGTTAAAAAAGCCTACGGGATACTATTCTTCATAAATAGGGGCATAGAGTACAACAGGTAGGAAGTTATGATGAACCTTTATATAAAACACTGGTTAGGCGTCAGCGAGAGACGGGGTTCAGTTCTGGGTCCCACACTTTAGGAAGGATGTCAAGGCATTGGAGAGGTGGGTCAATAACCAAAGGACACAAATTTAAAATAGTTGTTAAAAGAAACAGAGGGGAGGTGAGGAGAAATGTCTTCACACAGCGAGTTGTTTGGATCTGGAAAGTATTGCCTGAAAGGCTGGTGGAAGCTAATTCGCTAACAGCTTTTGAGAGAGAAGCAGATAATTATTTGGGGAGGACAAGTTTGCAGGGCTATGGGGAGAGCGCGGAGGAGTGGGGTTGATCAGGGCTATGGGGAGAGAGTGGGGGAGTGGGGTTGATCAGGGCTGTGGGGAGAGAGTGGGGGAGTGGGGTTGATCAGGGCTATAGGGAGAGAGTGGGGGAGTGGGGTTGATCAGGGCTATGGGGAGAGAGCGGGGGAGTGGGGTTGATCAGGGCTGTGGGGGGAGAGCGGGGGAGTGGGGTTGATCAGGGCTATGGGGAGAGAGTGGGGTTGATCAGGGCTGTGGGGAGAGAGCGGGGGAGTGGGGTTGATCAGGGCTATGGGGAGAGAGAGAGAGTGAGAGTGGGGTTGATCAGGTCCATGGGGAGAGAGTGGGGGAGTGGAGTTGATCAGGGCTGTGGGGAGAGAGCGGGGGAGTGGGGATGATCAGGGCTATGGGGATAGCGCGGGGGAGTGGGGTTGATCAGGGCTATGGGGGGAGAGTGGGGGAAGTGGGGTTGATCAGGGCTATGGGGGGAGAGTTGGGTTGATCAGGGCTATGGGGGGAGAGTGCGGGGGATGGGGTTGATTTGGAAGCTCTTTTCAGAGAGCCGCACATACACGATGGGCCGAATGGCCTCCTTCTGTGCTGTAGGATTGTATGATCCTCTGGCTTATATTGCCTCGCCTCATTCTTCCTCCCAAAATGCATCACTTTGCATTTCTCCACAGTTAAGCACTTGTACTGAATACAATCAAATACTTCTAATTACAATTGTTATCATTCTTCACGTGTTTCAGTTTGGTCAATGCACTGTGGACACCCTGTACACAATAATATTTGCATTTGTTATAACAACTTATCACATCTTTGACATGTCTCAAAGCGCTTGAATATACTGTAAAGTGAACTGACTGTATATTTTGTGGGTGATAGGAAACATACATCTGAAAACAACAACAACAACAAAATTACATTTGTATAGCTCCTTTCATGCTGGGAGGAGTGAGGCAGAGGGACTGCGGGATGGAGTTCCAAAGGATGGGGGTAGAGTGGCAGAAGGCGAGTGAAGCAGGCCGGAGCCCACTGAGCGGAGGGAGCGAGCAGGATAGTAGGGGGTTAGGAGGTGGCAGAGGTCGGGGGGGACAAGGCCACGGAGGGCTTTGAAGGTGAGGACCAGGATCTTCATAATAATAATAATAATAATAATCCTTGCATTTGATGTAGCGCTTTTCATGTCAGGAGGACGTCCCAAAGCGCTTCACAGAACACACTGTAAAGTGAATTGACTGTATATTTGTGGGCAAACGCGGCAGCCAATTGCGCACAGCAATGTCCCACAAACAGACGTAGATTGAAAATGACCAATTTATTATTGTTTTTGGTTTTGGAGGGATTATTATTAGGCTCTGTGTGGAGTAAGGAAACTTGCCCAAGGTTTCGCCCTCTGCCTGGAATTGAACGCAGGTCTCTCACTTGCAAAGCGAGTGCTCTAACCACTGAGCTACAGGACTCCACTCTTGAACTTGAACTCAGATACTCTTGAACTGTATCCTCTGTGTGATGGGAAGCCAGCAGAGTTGGGCGATAGGGTCATGGAGCCTGGTGCAGGAGAGGACACGGGCTGCAGAGTTCTGGATGGGCTGCAGAGTTCTGGATGATCTGCAGCCCGTGTCAGGGAGTTTGCATAGTCGAGCCTCGATGAAATTAAGGCATGTGTGAGGGTTTCGGCGGCCTGCAGGGTGACACCCACATTTATCATGTAAGCAGTTTCATTGATTGCAATGAGGATTAGGCTGCACAAACCTGTTTTTATACCTTACTTTAAACTGTTAAAAACAAAACCTTTATCCATCATCAGCAGTATTTTTTCCTCCTCAGAGTTGAGACTTACCCGCTGGCAGGAAGGAATATGATCCATATGCATAACTTCATTTGCTAATATGAGAAGGTTGTAGCAGAGGTAGTATGCCTGGTAAATAAAATAAAAGCACTATTCAATTGGCCTGTAAACCCTTTAGTGTCACTGTGGTTTTTTTGTAAATAAAATGTACATGTTCAAAACTAGCTTTCATTTGCAATTTCTGGTGGCGAACAACTCAAATGGCTTTCCTCAGCTGAATCTCTTTTGTGATGATACAATCAAGGACTTTTTTGGCCCACCTCAAGAACCTTCCTCTTTGACTGCGCCTTCGGTCACCCTCCTTCCCCACCCTCCCTTCCCTTACCATTCTTGATCCCAACCCCCAGCTTGGATGGAAATCCTTGACTGTCCAGCACCTTAGGACATCCTCCCGATGTGAAAGGTGCCATGTAAATGTCATTTGTTGTTAATAATAATAATAATAATAATCCTTGCATTTGATATAGCGCTTTTCACGTCGGGAGGACGTCCCAAAGCGCTTCACAGAACACACTGTAAAGTGAATTGACTGTATATTTGTGGGCGAACGCGGCAGCCAATTGCGCACAGCAATGTCCCACAAACAGTCGTTGATTGAAAATGACCAATTTATTATTGTTTTTGGTTTTGGAGGGATTATTATTAGGCTCTCTGTGGAGTAAGGAAACTTGCCCAAGGTTTCGCCCTGTCTGGAATTGAACTCAGGTCTCTCGCTTGCAAAGCGAGTGCTCTAACCACTGAGCTACAGGACTCCGTTGTTGTTCTCAACTGGCTGACAACTAATCCAGCCACGCTGCTTGAGCAATGGCACAAGTAACTACCCTCAGGGGAAAGCTGATTTTATTGAATAACTTGGATGAGAGGGAAAAAAAATTGAAACAATTGTGAAAAATAAATTGAAAATTAGTTTAGGTTGCAGCGTTGAGTCATTTGAAAGGATACATAGGATAGATAGATCTCAATGGCCTTCCGTAAATAAAATACAATAAAGCTTTTTTTTAAAAATGAGACGTTGCTAAGTCAGCGACTCAACAGACACACCAGAAGGGACAAAGACGAGTTTAAAAAAATCAAAGCAGCTCAAATCCCAAGTGAAAGATACAACCAACCAATTTGAGGGATTACCTGCTGATCAGGCTCTGTAGGCATAGTTTGTTCTTTTTGTGGTGCCTGCTGTTCAGATTGAACATTTGCTTCCAAAGTTTTTAATAGAGACGATGGTTTCATCTGGTACATGAACTGGCCAAGTTGAGCGATCTGGAGGGAGAAGAAACAAACACCCAAATATTACTTGACAATTCCTCCCACCCTTTGTAAATCCCTCCTCGGGGCTGTTTAAAGGAACAGATTCCCAAGCAGTCGCCTACCATTCACACCATCTCTGGCCACCTCTCATTCTTGGTGCACTCGCCTTGCTAGCGAGAGGGTTTGGGTTTGAGGTGCAAAACCTTAAAGCAAATTTCCTTACTCCACATGGTTCTGTTCACCTAGCAGTAAATAGGGACCCGGTTAATCGATTGGGTAATAATCCCTCCAAAAAAATGATAATAAAAATCTGGTCACTCAATCCACGACTGTTTGTGGGACGCTGCTCTGCAAAATTGGCTGCCACGTTTCACCACAAAATACACAGTCAATCCACTTTGTAATATATTCTGTGAAGCGCTTTGAGGCTTTTCAACGACGTGATAAGGCGCTATATCAAATGCAAAGATTATTATAATAATCATGTGCTGCATTATAAAATTCCTTGAATTTGATACAGCAACTTGACACATCTTCTAGACGTCTCGAAGCACCATCAGCAACACTTCCTAACAGCAACAAAACACAAAATACTGCAGATGCTGGAAATCTGAAAACAAAAATAGAAGTCGCTGGGAACATTCAGGAGGCAGCAAGATTCATCTCCGCCTTTTGTTTTTACATCATTAACACCTCTTTAACTCATCATCCCCTGCCTGTCTTCCTTGCCCTGTCTCCCCTCTCACTGTTAGCCCTTAAAAGCTTCTCCCTCCCAACATGCCCCAGTTCTGATGAAGGATCCTGGACCCGAAACGTCGACTCACTTTCCTTTCTCCATAGATGCTGCCTGACCTGCTGATTGTTCCCAACGACTTCTGTTTTTGCTTCCTAACAGCAAGTCTGAATGGTTCATTCATTGGTATGAATCAATAACAACTTGTATATAGCACCCCTCATGTTGTGCAAACACTGGATTGTCCAGCACCTTAGGATGTACTCACGTCTTGAAAGGGGCTACATACACATAATTTTGTTAAGACTGGGTATTACAGTCCTTGTCTGTTTGCTTTTTGCGAGACAGTCATAGGGCTGTTCAGTATAGAATCCATGACTGAGAAAGCTCCTCTAGTCTTATCAGTTGGTAAGAAGGTAAAAAGACGTGTGTGTGGAGTAAGGAAACTTGCCTACGGTTCACCAGCCCGAGAATTGAACCCAAGTCCTCTCATTTGCGAGGGAATGCTCTAACCAATACACTACAGAACTGCATATGAAAGGATGAGTACAGTATTCTACACAGGTCCTTGAGAGCCACTCCCTCCCAGCTTTGCTCTTTCCTCTCCTCTCACTCCCTCCATGAACTCTTCCAATCGGGTTTCCGTGAGGCCCACAGCACGGAAACCGCTCTGGTCAAGGTCACAAACGACATCCTGACCATGTGTGACCAGGGCTCCCTCTGCCTTCTCATCCTCTCCACCGCCTTTTAACACCGTGGACTACTCAATCCTTCTCCACCGCCTCTCCTCCCACCTCAACCTTCAAGGTTCTGTCCTTGACTGGTTCAGGTCTTACCTCCAATTCGTCATGGCAAACGGTTTCTCCTCCAGCCCCCGCACTGTTTCGTGTGGTGTTCCTCAGGGCTCTGTCCTCGGTCCCCTCCTCTTCACCCTCTACATGCTCCCCCTTGGTGACATCATCCGCAGACATGGGGTAAATTTCTACATATATGGGGATGACACCCAACTCTATCTCTCTGTCTCCACCCTGAACCCCAGGACACTGGCGTCCTAACCGACTGTCTGTCCGACATCAACAACAACAACAAGATTCCATTTATAAAGCGCCTTTCACGTCAGGAGGACGTCCCAAGGCGCTGCACAGTTGGGTCATGACCCGAGCAGTGGGGAAATGGTCAGGGTGAGGGGAGGGAGCGAGGAGGGGGGAAATGGTGAGGGGAGGGATGGGAGGGAGCGAGAAGGGGAAGAGAGTCGAGAGGGGAGCTGAAGGCTCGGTCAAAGAGAAAGGTTTTGAGACCGGCCTTGAAGGAGGAGAGGGAGGAGGCAAGGCGAAGGCACTGGGGGATAGAGTTCCAGAGCCTCGGGGCTGAGAGGCTGAAGGCCCGGCCACCGATGGTAGGGCGGTTGGGGCGGGGGACGTGGAGCAGACCGGAGCCAGAGGAACGTAGGTAGGGGGATAGTAGGTTGGAGAGGTAGGAGGGGGCAAGGCCGTGAATGGCCTTGTAGGTGAGGATGAGGATCTTGAAATCAATCCTCTGGGGATGGGGAGCCAGTGGAGGCGAGCGAGGGTGGGAGTGATGTGGTCCCGAAGCCGGGTGCGGGACAGTACACGAGCTGCAGAGTTCTGAATGACCTGCAGCTTGTGGAGGGAGGTGGCGGGAAGGCCGGCGAGGAGAGAGTTCCCATAGTCCAGCCTTGAGGTCCTGGACGAGGGACAACCTTCTCCAACTGAACGTCAGCAAGACCGAGGCCCTCCTGATTGGCTGGCGCCAGTGTCTCTGTACCTCGAGCACTGACAGCATCACCATCTATGGTTGCACACTCCACCTTGTTAAGCCAATCCGGAACCTTGGGGTCTTGTTCAGCCTTCAACTATCCTTTCTGTCTCATATCTGTGCCATGACCCGCTCTGCCTTCGCCACCCCCGCGCTGGCAGCATTAGCATCCATGGCTGCACTCTCAACCTCACTGAGCCAGTCAGGAACCTGGGTGTCTTGTTTGACCCTGTTGTCCACAGTTGTCCTTTCTCTCCCACATCCGCGCAATGACCGGCACTGCCTACCACCATCTCTGCAACATTGCCAGACTCCACCACTGCCTCACCCCTCAGGCTGCCGAAACCCTCACCTACGCATTAATAATCCTATAATAATAATCCTTGCATTTGATAGCGCTTTTCACGTCGGGAGGACGTCCCAAAGCGCTTCACAGAACACAATGTAAAGTGAATTGACTGTATATTTGTGGGCGAACGCGGCAGCCAATTGCGCACAGCAATGTCTCACAAACAGTCGTAGATTGAAAATGACCAATTTATTATTGTTTTGGTTTTGGAGGGATTATTATTAGACGTGTGGAGTAAGGAAACTTGCCCAAGGTTTCGCCCTGTCTGGAATTGAACTCAGGTCTCTCTCTTGCAAGGCAAGTGCTCTAACCACTGAGCTACAGGACTCCACATTCTTCACATCAAGGCTCGACTACAGGGACTCCCTCTTCATCAGCCTTCCCAACTCTTTTTTTCACAAGCTGCAGATCATCCAAAACTCTGCAGCTCGTGTACTCTCACGCACCAGGCTCCATGACCCCATCACTCCCACCCTCGCCCGACTCCACTGGCTCCCTATCCCCCAAAGGATCGAGTTCAAGATCCTTGTCCTCACTTTCAAGGCCATCCATAGCCTTGCGCCCTCCTACCTCTCTGACCTGCTGACTCCCTACCCACCTGCCCCTTCCCTCCGTTCAGCGGGCTCCAACCTGCTCCATGTCTTCCACCCGACCTACCATCAGTGGCCGAGCTTTCAGCCTCTCTGCCCCCACATTCAGGAACTCCCATCACAGTCCCTTCACCTCGCTTCCTCCCTTGCCTCCTTCCAAGCCGGTCTCACACCCTCCTCTTCGATCGTGCTTTCAGTCACCCTCCCACCTCTCTGCCTTTCCTCACCCCTACCCCACCCCCCCCATGCTCGAGTCCTGACCCGACTGTCCAGCGCCTTGGGACGTCCTCCTGACGTGAAAGGCACTCTATAAATGTAATTTTGTTGTTGCTGAAAGCTGACGGGTTTGCAAATGTGCATTACAAAGATTCCAGATATCACTGTCTTGCTGGATCTCATACCTTCATGTCTGGGTCCTTCGGCATACAAATGCCTTCCTTGTTTAAAAGTTTTGAAATGATCACCAGGCTGAGATGTCTTCGTAGTTGTCTATAAAAAAATACAAATTGGTCCATTATTGCAGAATGCTGTGCCAGAAAACTCGAGGGAAAAATAGGAGGCTAAATGGCAAACAATTCAAGCAAAGCATGTGAGTGACGAATGTATGATTAATTCTTATAAACCAGCTTGATAGACTTTGTGGGGGGGGGGGGGGGCGGCAGCCGGGTGTCGTGCGGAAGAGTATCCATGCCATCACCACATGCGGAAACCCATCACCATGTTTAAAAGCCCTCCAGGACGCTACCCTGCGTAAAGGGCATTATATAAATGCAAATTGTTGTTGTAAGAGTATCCAAATCAAACTGAGATTTCCACGCATCCCGTCTGCACATGGAGATTCCACAGATAGATTGTTGGAATGGAATGCACTCTCTCTCTCTGGTGGATTGCAATAGAGTGTCAACTAGACTGAGAGTTCAAAGTCCTGATGTGGGACTTGAACCCACAACCTTCTGACTCAGAGGCAAAAGTGGTTCCAAGTTAGCAAGATTGATAATACACTTACATATAACGAATACTTAAATAACTAGTGATTTCCACATGTAATGGTGAACATTACCTCCCCCGTGTCGAACCATCTGGGATCAACTGAACCAGGTACGAAAGATTATGATGATGTTCTGATAAGTTACTGAGGATTGTACAGAGTTCAAACATCTGTTGATAAAAGCAAATAGCTTATTAATTTCTGCATGCAGACAGCATTTACAAGCAATCATAATTAGAAAGGGAACATTAGCTATAAAATACACTATGGGCTATATCTAGCATTTTGCAGAAATGACAATATTGTTCTATAATTCAAAAAAAGGAATGCAGGTCAAATAAATTCTAGAGCAAGTTATGATCTAAACTGATTTTGCTATTGTTTTATATATATACACATATATAAAAAGCACTTCCTCCCAATATCCAAGGAATGAACAGGGTGCTATTGCTGGCAGCATGTTCTGGTGCCTTGAAACTACGACCACAGAATGCAAGAAGGGCAATTTCTACCCTATAAGTGGTTTCAACAAATCATAAGTGGTTCTTATTCTGCTTGCAGTCAAGCTACATGAGATCTCCGTGTTTGGGTTAGTGTTTCTCGTGTTAATGGATGTTGGAAATTCTTTTAACCCTAAAATCATAGAATCATATAATGTTGCAGTTTGTAACCTGTTACAAGTCTCTTCATTAGGGGAATTGCTGGACATTCAGTGAATCTTCAAATCAGTTTCTCGTGTCTCAGAATTTTACATCTTTTCTCCCTTGACACCAAAAACCACTCCTGGTTTTGCATGTTCATAGAATCATAGAATCCTACATCACATTCGGCCGATCGTGCCTGGGCCAGCTCTTTGAAAGAGCTATCCAATTCATCCCACTCCCCCACTCTTTCCCTTGCAATTTTTTTACTTTCATAAATATCTAATTCTCTTTTAAAAGTTATTTTTGAATCTAGATAATATTTTTCCACTTTCTGGCATTATTTACATTTTCACCAATTAAACAATGTTGGTCACTCTAAAACATCTTACCTGCACATTCCATTCTCTAATATTGCTGAGAAGATTGTTCAGCAAACACTGAAAGTCTTTATTAGGAGTCATGTCTTGTTCAAGGCTGATTCTGCCTCCCAGACTGATCAGCAACACTAACTCTTTATCAGAGTACACTTCAGGATACATGGAGGTACACAGCAGCAGAAACTAGAGGGATAATAAACATTTAAACTTACTTAAAAACTTGCAAGCGATTCAAACTCTTTCTACGAGCAAACTATGCAAGGTTAAATATTTAACAGATGCAATCCATAAATTATAGCTGCAGAGAAGGACAATCTCTCATGTTCTCATCCTTAGTCAAAAGATTTAAGATGATGCAGAATTTGGCAATATTCTTAAATTCAGTATTAATTTGGAACTCGGGTTATTTGATATACAGTCAATTCACTTTACAGTATATTCTGCAAAGTGTCTTCAGATGTCTCAACGGCATATTATATGCAAGGATTATTATTATAAAAACAGCTTCTAAATTAAGGAACAAACTTTGGAATTTTAAATTTTGAGACAATGGTTTTAAGGCAAAGAGCCGGAAGAATTCTGGTAGATTGTTCATTACAGTAGCATTTATGGCCCCAGAATTTTACTACAATCTAGACTTTGACTTGTATGTATCGCCACTAATCATGAGTGGTTCTGGAAACTCCCCCATGAACATACAAGAGATAATTATACCTTAACTACATTTGTTATGTTGTATTCTGGCAGAGAAGTGAAGATGGGCTCTCTCTGAGGTGTGACTAGATGGTCCTCCAGATGATTCTCATTGCTGTGCTGCCTGGATCTAATGAGAGAAACAAAGAAGCAAGCAGTTTTAACTATTAATAGCCACAAAGACAATTACTTTGAGTTTATTTTGTAAACTGTGAAGGCAATGCTGCTTTACAGGCATTGATTTTCAGGGATAGAAAACCATCAGCAGAAACTGAGTGGAGAGAGCTGATAGCATTTAGTTTCCAGATAGGAAGGGAAAAAAAAACTCTAAAGAAAAACACTGGGTCTGTCTCTATCAGAAACAGCAGGTCTTAAATCCTTTGCCCATTTCTATTATAGCTTTGAACTTGCATAAATGGTTGTTGCTTCAACAATGCAACATCCATTATGAAGGTGATGTTACCCAGTATATTGTGGGTCCACAGTGCACCATCACTATGAATAGACCAGAAAAATACAGAGGCATTCAATAACCTTATATATGTAAAATTGGGTTCTGATAAAATAGCTCATACAACGAATGAGATAGTTCCTAACTTACATTATATCCTGTTCCGTGAAGTCTGGCTGAAGGTGTGACAGTGGAAACAAAGCATGAAACGGTGCTCCTAAATTCATAAAAACAGCAACTATATCCAGGAGACTGGGAGTCCAAACCTTGAACTTACTTGCGCCATTCTTATCTGCAAGATAAGTTAGGAAAATTGCCATTAGAAACCGTCTGGCACAGGTATTCTGTTTGGTAGGTTATGGATTACAGTAGTATCTTTACACCAGAATACAACTTTACTAGAAAAGTAATCTAGTCCTTGCCTTTTAAAGGCTTCATTCACCAAAGAAGTACACTTTGCAGTAAAATTCTATGAAGTGCTTTGAAATGCCTCAGCAACTTGCAACAATTATTTTTGTTACATACTCAATTGAATGCAAACAGGCTTTCCTTCCAGTATCATTAGACGATAACAATTCACGGTCCACGCCTTGGGACATCCTCCTGACGTGAAAGCTACAATATAAATTCAATTTGTTTTTGTTGTTAGACATCACCAAAACATCATGAAACACCAACGGGAACTTCAGCCCATGAGGGATAAGTTTTGGGGTTCACAGAGGTCATGTTTGTAACAGTTTTCACAAAGTTGCCTTGCAAATGCTCCCTGAAGATTTTTGAAAGATTAAGAACTACTGTAATTTTACACACAAATTAGCTGTGACAAGCTTCCACAATTCTGTCTCTTCTTCAACTCTGCTCTACAGTTTTAAAGTAGAAAGCAGCAATGGGTGAACTTCAGCGTGCTCAGTTTAATGTTGAAATTCCTCAGCAGGGTAGCAAGCAAGAACACTGAAGTTATATACTGACCTATTTTATTGGTGGTATTTGTGCAGATACCCCAAAGTGCTTTGAAAATGTGCATTGAAACAACGTAATCCGAATGAACAGTCATCATCTGTAAAACAAATAAAGGTAACATTTTGTTAGTTATTCAATGGAGCAGAACTACAACGGAAATCAATGGTGATAGTGTACCATAACCCTATCACGGGTCCACAGGGCACCAACTTATTACTAAATCAGGGAAATGTGTTTATTTAGCTTAGGCCAACAAAATGCCAGCACTGTGTTGACTACTTCATATTGTCTATTTTATCAAAGATTTCTACCGCATGTGAAGACACACCCAATCTAAATGTAGTATTTGAAAAATCTCTCAGTGGCTTCTATTTTTTAAGCATTCACTCTGTGCACATGAACACTTGATGTTCCTGCAATCCCAGTGCAGTACTATTCTAACACACTTGCTGGGACCATAAAATCCCAACGAGGGCAATCAACAATCTGTGCTTCCCCATTCACTGCTCATCAATGCAGACAGACAAAATACCATTGGCTTGGTCATCAGGTGGATGCCATTACTTGGTCATCAGATGGATGCAAGCTGTGCACGTGTGCAGAAAGCCACCAGTTTCACAAACACAAACCAAATCTACCACTGCTTGGTTGTGCACTGTCACGTTTACAAGCAGGTTAGGCTGCAGATCATCATTTCCTGTGGCATGCACAGAATGGAAGGCAGCCATGGGTCCATAGGACACCAACTTATAAGCGAACCTACGTTATAACGGGTTCTTACTCACCTTAAACAGTAACTCCCAAACTGGCTGGGGACATGGTGAAGAAGCATAGGTTTGGCTTACCACCCCGTTGGTGAACAAAAGTTCCAGATGGCTGCTCCCAGGGCTGACAAAACAAAAATGAAGACAATGTTAAATAAAAGGAAAGAAATCTTATCTTTGCATCTTCTTTTGACACCGCAATTACTGTCGCTTTTAATGAATATTTGGAGGCAACAGGCCGCACAAATACTGTGACAGACCAATTTATCTGGAGGATTGTTGGACAGGACACTATCTGACCCACTGTAAGACAACCATATCACAATAACAACAACAACAACAAGATTCCATTTATAAAGCGCCTTTCACGTCAGGAGGACGTCCCAAGGCGCTGCACAGTTGGGTCATGACCCGAGCAAGGGGGGAAATGGTCAGGGTGAGGGGAGGGAAGGGAGGGAGCGAGGAGGGGGGAAATGGTGAGGGGAGGGAAGGGAGGGAGCGAGGAGGGGGGAAATGGTGAGGGGAGGGAAGGGAGGGAGCGAGGAGTGGGAAGAGAGTCGAGAGGGGAGCTGAATGCACGGTCAAAGAGAAAAGTTTTGAGACCGGCCTTGAAGGAGGAAAGGGAGGAAGCGGCGAAGGCACTGGGGGATGGAGTTCCAGAGCCTGGGGGCTGAGAGGCTGAAGGCCCGACCACCGGTTGGGGCGGGGGACGTGGAGCAGACCGGAGCCAGAGGAACGGAGGGTACGGGCAGGTAGGTAGGGGGATAGTAGGTTGGAGAGGTAGGAGGGAGCAAGGCCGTGAATGGCCTTGTAGGTGAGGATGAGGATCTTGAAATCAATCCTCTGGGGGATGGTGAGCCAGTGGAGGCGAGCGAGGGCGAGGGTGGGAGTGATGTGGTCGCGGTGTCTGGTGCGGGACAGTACACGAGCTGCAGAGTTCTGAATGACCTGCAGCTTGTGGAGGGAGGTGGCGGGAAGGCCGGCGAGGAGAGAGTTCCCATAGTCCAGCCTTGAGGTGACAAAGGCGTGAACCAGGGTTTCAGCAGCGTGAGGGGTGAGGTAGTGCCGTAGTCTGGCGATGTTCCGGAGGTGATGGAAGGCGGTGCCAGTTGTGGTGCGGATGTGAGGGAGAAAGGACAGCTCAGGGTCGAGGGGAACCCCGAGGTTCCTGACTGGCTTTGCGAGGTGGAGAGTGCAGCCTTGGATGCTGATGGTGTCAGCGCCTGAGGTGCGGAGGCGCTGACGTGAGCCAATCAGGAGGGCCTCGGTTTTTCGCACGTTGAGCTGAAGAAAGTTGTCTCTCGTCCAGGACTCGATGTCGGACAGGCAGGCTGTCAGGACATCGGTGGTCGTGGAGTTGAGAGTAGAGGAGGAAAGGTAGAGTTGGGTGTCATCCGCATACATGTGGAAGTTAACTCCATGTCTGCGGATGATGTCACCGAGGGGGAGCATATAGAGGGTGAAGAGGAGGGGACCGAGGACAGAGCCCTGAGGGACACCACATGAGACAGTACGGGGGGTGGAGGAGAAGCCATTCGTGGAGACAAAGTGAAGACGGTGAGAAAGGTACGACCTAAACCATTCAAGGACAGTGCCTTGAAGGTTGAGGTGGGAGGACAAGCGGTGGAGTAGGATAGCGTGGTCGACCGTATCGAATGCTGCCGATAGGTCGAGGAGGACGAGGAGACAGAGGGAGCCCTGGTCACAGATGGTCAGGATATCATTGGTGACCTTGACCAGGGCAGTTTCTGTGCTATGGGCAGCACGGAAACCTGACTGAAGGGGTTCGAAAAGAGAATGGGTGGAAAGGAAAGAGCGCAGTTGGGAGGCGACAACTCTTTCCAAGACCTTGGAGAGAAAGGGGAGGTTGGAGATGGGCCGGTAACTTGATAGCTGCGACGCATCAAGGGAGGGTTTTTTCAGGGTGGGCGTGATGGTGGCAGTTTTTAATGGAATGGGGACAGAGCCAGAGGAGAGGGACAGGTTGATGATGTCAGTGATATGTGGGGCAAGAAAGTGGAGCTGGGAGATAAGGAGTGGAGTGGGGATGGGGTCAAGGGAGCAGGTGGTTGGTTTTAGGGATAGGATGAGTTCAGTGACAGAGGGTGGGGAAACGGGTACGAAGGTGTGTAGGGGAGGATGGGTAGGAGTCGGAGTGTGGGAGGGAAGGGGTGGGTGGTGGGTGGAAGTTGGAGGGGAAGTGACCGCGGAGCGGATTCCCTTGATCTTGGATTCAAGGAAATCCAGCATCTCCTCGCAGTGAAGGTTGGAGGAGATGACCTGCGCGGGGTGGCGGGGGGGACGGAGGAGTCGGGTTGTGGTGGAAAACAGTAGCCTGGGGTTGTTCTTCGCCTCCAGGATTATCCTGGAGTAGAAGGACGACTTGGCCGAGGCTAGAGTGGAGCGGTAAATTTTGAGGAGGTCCAGCCAGATTTGTCGGTGGACCGTTAGGCCAGATTTGACACAGGTGCGTTCAGCGGCCCGCACCTGGCTTTTCAGTGAGCGGAGGTGGGTGGTGTACCAGGGGGAGGAGCGGGAGTAGGAGACAGTGCGGGAAGTGATGGGGGCAAGAGTATCGAGTGTGGAGGAGAGGGTATTGTGGAGGAGGGAGAGAGAAGAGGGGTCGGTGAGGGTTGAAGGCCAGAGGGCGGTTGGGGCGGGGGATGTGGTGGGAGGTGTAGCCGGGTGGCGTGGCCTCCGTGAGGGGGAAGGTGTCGCCTGGGGTGAGCCAGGTTACTGTTAATGCCATGATATCAACGTTCTCATCAAGGATGAGATCGTTGATGACCAGGGCCTTGTTGCAGAGGGAGCGGACATTTTGCAGTCCGATGTGGAGGGAGCGGTTGACAGAAGGGTGTGTGGGAGGGGAGGGGGGTCCAGGTTGTGAGGCAGGGGTGGGGGGAATGGGGATGAGGGAGGAGAGGTTGACTCCCCGGGTCTGTGTCCGGGGTGGCTGGCGAGTGTGGTGGGGAATGGGGCAGTCGGTGTGGCTGCTGCTGGACAGCCAACGCCGAGTGCCACGGTGAGCGCGGCGGAGGATTCCCAGGCTGGAGCAGAGGGAGGTTGTGGGAGGGTCAAGTGGGGATAGAAGGCGAGAGGGACGGAGAGAGAGGAGGAGAGAGCGGGAGAGATGCAGAGGGGGGAGGGTTTGGGGGGAGAGAGGAGGGGGGAGGGAGGGAGGGGGTGAGGGGGCTCGGGTCAAAGCGGCAGCCATAGTGCGCACGCGGGGACCGGGAGCGAGCGGTCAGGTGGATGGCATTATCCCGTAGATTGGGGCAGCGAACGTCATTGAGATGTCTCAAAGCGCTTCACAGGATATACCACACACAAAAATTCCCTTCTTTTTCATTAATAGCAGAAGTTTGGTGAAGTGCAGATCTTCCAAATGTTGTGGCAGAAAACGACAACGCCTCATACAGCACAGAAAACGAAGGTCCACAGGCTCTAGAGATCGTAGAAGTTGGTCATCATTTTCAAAGCCCTCCATGGTCTACCTCTGCAACCTCCAAATCCCCTTCCATCCTGCCTGCTCCCTCTGCTCAGCAGGCTCCAGCCTGCTTCACATCCCCCGTCTCGCCTGCCCCACCATTGGTGGGGCGGGCCTTCTGCCACTCTGACCCCACCCTATGGAAGCCCACCCTATGGAGGTCCATCCCGTAGTCCCTCCACCTCACCCCCTCCCTTGCCTCCTTCAAGACCCAGCTCAAGACCGCCCTCTTCGATCACCCTCCATTCCCCACTGCTCACCAAGTCCTCCCGAAAGGCGCTACATAAATGTAATTTTGTTGTTGTTGTACAACCTACAGGTGTGAATTCCAACACGATGAGAATGCTGATCTCAGCTGTGGCAGCAATTGGGGAATTGGCCTGAAGCCAAGTTTCCAACTAGTCACCACGCAGCTACAGTTAGCTGTATCCACTCTCATGTAGTTAGTATAACTGAAACAATTTGAAGGAGATTGCTTTACTGTTGTTCTTAAGAGAATCACAAGATTGGTTTGCATAAAAGCAGCCCTTTGACCCATCCAATCTCATCTTTCCACCACTACCAACAACAAATCACATTTGTATAGTGTCTTTCACATCGGGAGAACCTCCCAAGGTGCTGGGACCAGAGTTGGGGGTTAAGATCAGGAGTTTTTTTTATATATAAAAGAGTCCAGTGTCAAAGCGGATTTTTAAATGAGTCCGTTGTCCTGGCCTAAACCACTCTTCCCAGTAACCTGTTCCAGTAGTTAATTCCTCCAGGATAAAGAATAAAAAGAGCAATTTCCCCACCTGATGAGAGTTCTTTCCAGAAAATTCTGAGGGGTCAATTCAGACCGAGACAAGGTGAGGTTATGTTGATTAAAAAACGCTCCAGACTTCAACAAGTTGAAAATCTTTTCTCCAGGACGCAAGTCGGGTATTCCGTCAGACTTAACTGAGAATTTGCGAAAGAATTCCCTGAACACAAATCAAAACATTAATGGGGAGGTTAATTATGATTTGTTTCTGTGCTGTACAATTATTATTGATTAATTAATTATTTTTTATCAATAATAATTCTGTGATCAGTGCAGCACAATAAGGTCTTATGCTGAGGTTTTCCATTAAACTTTTATTAAAACAAATCTGTAAGAATAAAGAAACCTGCTGTCAACAACAAATTGTATTATATTGCACCCTTCACATCATGGGGACATTCGTGCAACGGTGGGGGCATTGGGTGCCATCACTATTGTATAACCAGCAGACGGCGCTCCACACCACACAGCACATCTACAATCAGATTCATCATGTACAACAGATACCCTCACTTATGCCATATATTATTATTATTATTTATCAAGTGTTGGTTTGCAATTCTGCCATCACTAACCTATGTTCATCTGGAATCGATTCCAAGTCTCCATCCAAACTCTGTTCATCGTCTTCCTCAGTCAGACAACTCAAATTAAGAGTGTCGAATTCATTCTGCAATTTCCTCTTCAACTCGTTCAGCTGCGTCTCCCTCTTACTGAGAAAGTGCAAAATGATCAGCATTTCACTCCACCAGAGATTGCAATTCATCATGAAAAAGTTAAATGTTCTTAAGCAGTATTTGATGGACCAGACACCGCAGGAGGTGGTCACCCCACCCCACACACCGAGGGTTCAGACGGAAAATGACTGGGTGACTATCCGGCATGGTAGGAAGAGGGGACGGGCAGGGCAGAATGCCCACAATAGTGTAGCTCTCTCACACCAGTACTCTGTACTGAACATTGGGAATGTTGATATCTCCAGGGAGGACAGTATACACCGAGTGGTGGAACAGGGGACATAGGTAACAGGAGCAATGCTGTATAGACCGACGTTTCTGTAACAGAAGACGGGAGTCAAGGATGGTATGTTGCCGCCTGGTGCAACAGTCTTAGACATCGCAGAAAGGGTGGATAAAATTCTTCAGGGGGAAGGAGAACATTCAGAAGTGGTGGTCCAGGTTGGGATCCATGATATTGGTAAAAAAAAGGGCTGAGACTCTACAGGGTGAATATCAAAATCTGGGGAACATATTAAAGAATCGAACATCCAAGGTGGTGATCTCTGGATTAC